ATTTTACGTTGTTACACTAAAGTAAAATTATGTAACAATCGTGTTTTATTTTTCGAAAGATATTGATAATAATTTAAAAAAAAATTATGTTCAAACCTCTGTTTTTTTCGTAGAATTAAGTAAATTAAATTAAGTTATGTGTTTCAGAGAGAAAATTAAAATTATTAACTAGAATTATTGGCTTTGTTTTTTCTCTTGCAGTCATATCGTATCCATAATCTAATTTGCATAAAACAGATTATATTGATTTTATAAATGACATTGAACCATATATTTTTTTTCCACAAATATATCGCGGCTATAAATTTTCCTTTATCATGAATTTTCCATGAAAACAGAAATACGGCGCTACGTGCTTATGAATTCATTCAAACATGATGATTTCAGCAGGTAGCGAGGGTTCGATTACAAGGATCTCGTACATATTTGTCTAAAGGGGGTCACAGTAAATTTGAAATATCAGTTTATTTATTTAAGAGGGAACGGGGCAAGCTTTTAGTTTCGTGTTCCTATACGATAAACTAACCACTAACGTGCGAAAGTAAACCTCATCTCTGGATAAGTATAATCTTTCATAAGAAGAATAAATCATTAATATCATAATGAAAACAAATCATCGCGTTGTATTTTTATACACGGCGTTGAAAAAGGTGAAAGGAAAGTTTTTCTAATAAAAGTCCAAGAGGAGAAATTTATATACTGCGGCGCCCCTTTAGAATACGAAAGAGTCTAAGAGATATGAAGAAGGCAAAGAACGGCTTTACTGTCAGTGCGACGAGTAAGGAGGAGTAAAAACGCATCATTTTCGCAGAGTCGATGGGAAGCCTATCAAACTAACTGCTCGCTCGTAGTTGGTAACACTCGTGAACCTGCTCGACCAGGTCGAACCACATCCTGCGCGTGATCGTTTCCGCAAGAAGCCAGTCGACTGCTGTCCTCTCGACGCTCGGTACAATATTGCAGATCCATTAATAATATTAGATTACCAAAGTTAGAATCAATCCTAGATTTTTATAAACACTCGTTTAACTGTCCGTTTAAATTACCAGAGCAAATATTTATGTATCTTATTCTTTTAATTCTGAGCTCAACTAATTTATTATATCCTGAGCTTGCAGTTTTATTTATTTGATAAAAGAAAAACACCTACACTATTGACTATTTTAATTTTTTAAATATTTTTTTTTATCAAATAATTTTATGACAGTATATATTTATAAATAATATTGGTTTTAATAATTTTGTGAATTTATGATTAAAAATAATATCTATATGAAACTCTGTTTATATTGTATTGTATGCAAACTAGTAACGTATATGCGTTCGTCAATATTTTGCTCTCTCTCTCTCTCTCTCTCGACCTCGGTGTTCCCCGGGGAATGTAAATTCTGATTTCACCAGGATTTGCGATATCCCTGGCGAGATACTTGAGCCTGAAGGTTCAAGGCTAACTATATACTTTCAACCGCATTGCTCGCGGCTCTCCGTGTAGCTTGAGGAGAAGTTACGCTGGGTGTCGGCGGCGCATAGGAATATTATCTAGCGGACATAATAATTTATTAATCGCACCGCAATGATGTCTTAATAATCCTGCAAAGCGTATACATAATCCTATACACAAATAATAAATAATGCAACTGAGAATGCGTGTTACGTTGATTTTATCGTCGTGACTACATCAAAATCATTTAGTAAAACATAGCGTTACGAAGATTAAACTTCTTAGAAAAAATATACATATAAATCTTAATATACTACGCAAAAAAATTAAAGAGCCACTTCGTCGCGTATAATCGGATTGAGGTCAATAAAAAAGCGTTACAAAGCTTGAAGTTTCTAGTTTCAGAATCTTTTAGTCGATTTCAATTATTTTTATTTGTTACAAAATTACATTATGAAAAAGCGATATTCGTCGATTGAACAAATTTTTCAAAAGTTTGTCAAAAAGTGCCGAAGAAAAAAGAAATTGTAGCATAATTTCGTTAACTGGATTTTAAAAAGCAGAGTTTTAATCATTAATCTTTAGTCTTTAATTTGCTTTTTTAATGAATGCCCTACGATTTTTTTTTCGCCGAGTTATTCACTATTGAAGTAAAATCAATCTATTGACTTTGAGCGTTCATGACTAGTGAAAAAATTATTGCACAATGATAATTAAAAAAGTAATTTAAAGAGAAAAGTCGGTACCTTAAAATGCATTTATTGCTTTCTCAATCAATATCCATTGTTGAAGTGTAATCGTTACTTTAAAATCGAGTAAAAATTGCACTTTTACTTTTTTTCATTTAAATCAATGCAAATTAATGAAAAAAAACACTAACATTTTTATGAACTCTACAATTTTACAGGTAAAAAGTATCCCAATTACTAGTGCAAGAAATCATAGGACATTCATTAAAAAAACAAGTTAAAGATAAAACTGCTCTTTAAAATTCAATTAACGAAATTGTGCTACATTTTTTTTTCTTCGATACTCTTTAACAAACTTTTGAAAAATTTGTTCAATCGACGGACGTCGCTTTTTCATAATGTAATTCTGTAACAAATAATAATTGTAATATAATTTTGTATAAAATTTCTTCTTCTAAACAAAAATTTAATATCTTGCACAATCGATGAGAGATCGAATATATTCGAAACGACCCGGTGTTACGTTACATCTGGCAGACGTTATTTTATCTGCTTCTTCCCGGCGGCGCCGGGGGAGCTTGTTCACCCTTGGGAATTAAAATTCTCACCGCCTCATGGAGAAGACTCCGAAACCCGATGTCGTTTGTGCCGGCGATTACCTGAGTCAGCTGTCTTAGCTGGAAGCGCCTTTGCAGAATCTCAGGACTCACGGCATAGGAGGCTGGAAAAAAGTGTGGGTTCTTTCCTACGGGTGTTTTCGAACAACCGATTCCCTAGGGTGGAAGAAGCTCCCTCTCGGCCGAAGAAAGGAGGAAGAAGCCTCAGCTATTTGCCCGTGGAAGCCGTGAAATGAATCTCCATCTCTCGAATGTTTCGTTCTAAATAGGCAAACCGCGACAACATTCAACTGCGCGAGTAGTCGCGATTTTTTATATTAAACGGGGCGATTTAATTAATTACATCAGAATGAATCAGAGCAATTTGCGTATGTAATCGTCGCGGATCGACTCGTAATTTAACGTGAATTACACTGCATTGATATAAAATATGTTATGAACGATGGTTTCTAATTTCTTTTAATATAATAACAAAAGTGCATATTCTCAGATTTATAGTAAAAAAATGCTTCAAAGAGGGTGATTTTTATAGTTTCTATTTGAAATCATTTATGATAATTCAATTGCATCCGCGAGGAATAAAGAAATGAGTTAAAATGTGTCGATACGTTTCTGAGAAGTCGACACTGATTTCGAAAAGAAAACACGCTATTGTTACGCGCGGTGATAAAATCGTGGTTTCCTTGATTTTACGATCGTTCGAAGTAACGGAGATCGGAAAAAGCGGCTCTAAGCTAAACGTGACAATTCTCTGTTATTTGACCTTTAAAATCTTATTCCTTTCTTTACCGAAATACTTTTCAATATAGATAAAAAGAATATTGATCCGACGTAGAAAAAAGAATTTCAATTTTGTCGCACATTGATTTGTCGCTTTAAGTTTGCTATTAGAAAAATTTAAATTCTCTTCTATCAGTAGAAGATAAAGCAACGTATAGGTATATATTACCTAATGTATAACCTAATAAATATATATTAAACTAATGTAATATCTTTATTTATGGTACCCATATTTCTATATCTTTATTTTTATTTTTTGTCTTTATTTTTATGCATTGTGTACATTGTTTTTTGATCATTTCGATCATTAATTTAGTCTGCTATTAAACTTTTGAAGATTAATTAAAATCGATAATCTAACCGTATATGTTCTTTTCTTTAACTTTTTAGAGGCGCGATTAAAAAACGCCACATTCCACGGACATTCCACAGGTACCCTTTAAGACATTTACTCTCTCAGCTCGCGCATTATCTATCCTTCATTACATCCTTGGAGGTGGACCAAAGTGGATAGCTTCGAGCGACTCATTAACTTCGACCCGTGTAACTTCGTCTTTAGATGTTACCCTATTTCTTGCCTCCGTGAAAAGCGTTTAAAAACAAAAAGGACGCCGAGAATAAGAGATTCTTTGTGTCGGTACAATAACACCCGGGGCTTAATCTCCTCTGCTCGAATGAAACTCGCTTTCGGCACCTTCTTGCGATCCGTTTCCCACGGTGCCATAAACCAGGTAAACCCCCGGAATGTTTTCCCCACAAAGTGAACCTCTTCACCGCACTTCTTCTCTTCATCATCTCAATCTTTTTCCTCGTTTCGCCTCCACTATTCTCCGTGAAATTGAGATGGAATGTTGTCCCTTAGCGTCATTTCGATTGATAGAGAGAATTGCCAGAAATAGTAATGTGTCATGATAACGTTAGAGAGAGAGAGAAAAACCGATTTGCATAAGAGATAATTATCCCATTAAGTTGTTAAAAAAAGATCTAAGAGAAAGTAGAAAAAATAGAAACTGGGCTCAAAGCCCCATTAATTCTAGCCTTTCGATTGCCTGTCGATCAAACCTAATGACAGCAATGTATCAAAATGCAAATATTACGAGGAATTGCCTTGGACCTTACGTACAACGCGGAAAAATATCGTAATCATGGAGAGCCGTCTTATGCAACTGGAGCAGTTCGAGCGTGAGAGTATTACGTCCCCCCAGCAATTTGCCAAGTTCCTAATTTTATTCAATAGCCCAAAGCAGGATTGCCATCACACTGATGACATAGTAATAACCAATCATCTTATTATTTTTTAATCTTGACAATCGTTATTGTCAAGAGAGAACTAACAATCGCGATTTTATCACTCAAAATAGCGCAGTAATTGCGTGCCAATCACGCCGGTAAAATCGTCTAATCCTAAAATCCTTAATCCTCGGTAAGTGAGATAAAAATGAAAAAATGGAGCTTCCTGGATGGGATACTCACGGACTGGTATTTTCTTGGGATCAACGGTGCCGAGTCGCTCCTCGATCTTGTCGATCTTGCGACGCAGGTGACCGCTCCTCTCGGCGACCTGGCCCAGTTCGGCGGTGAGACCCGCGAAGATGTCCTCCGCGACGGTCAGCAGGGAGGCCAGCTGCTTGAGGGAGCTGGTCAAGGCACCGTTCGCCACCGCCTCGAGCTCGGCGCCCACCGGCCAACCCGGCTGCGAGCCCCCCGGCACGTGGCCGCGGCACAGGTGCCGCGGCTCCACTTTTCGCATCACAAACGGCATCACGATGACGAGGACGACGACGATGACATGCTGCGTGCTCCCGGTGAACCTACACACTCGCGCATAACAACACACTCTGGCTTCGGATCTCCCTCATCACCGGGGCACCGCATCATCGTCGCCGCACGCCGTTCCGCGAGACCGATGGAACCCCGCCGCGATTTCGACGCGCCGGCTACAGCGCGACTCCATGCACTCCGTCGTCGGCTTATATCCCCGTCACTTTTCCTTCGTGTATTCCTCTCTATCGCGTCGATCGCCTCGTTTCCCTCTTCTCTCGTTTCTATTTTTTTTCCCCTTTACCTTCTCAGCACTTTCACTTCGCACACTCTCACGGTCGGTCGAAGCGCGAGAAATTCGATCAGGATTCGCGCGCGATCATCGAGATCCCGACCCTTGGATCCCGGAGGAGATGATAATGCGTGTACAGCATCATTGCGGTGGATCCCTTCAACCGCGAGATCCTTTCGCGCCGATTTTTTTCGCGGGATGAGATTTTGTTGCCGGGAGTCAGGTAGGTGAAAACGCGGTGAAAACGACCGATGGAACGCCGGCGAAACGTACCGCGCGCCGCGACGATGGTACGCGAAGTGCCGGCCGGTCTGGCAACCAGTCTCCGACCAGCTGGCTGGTTCTCCCATTCAAGCGAGTGTCCGAAAGCCGCCTTTGCCAACCGTCTGATTCGGAGACCCTACCCTCATCGCCATCTGCCGACTGGTCTCTGGCTGGTGTGACGGTATCTACTGCCGTTACAACAATTCCCTAATATTATTTCACTGAAAAATTTGGTTTAAATTTAATAACTTATTTTAATTTATATCGCATGTCCCAAACGGTCCACAAATTTTTATGTCAATTTAACGTAATATAGATATGTTAAATGGTGACAATAATACTATGTTAATATCTCAATACAAAAAAAAAAATAAATGCAAATTTCATAGTAATATGAAATAAATTTTGTGTAAAATTAATATATTTTTAATGATAAAATTAACTTGAAAAAATATTATTAACTGTAGTTACTCTCACTCCTATTGTATAATAAACTCAACATTTTTTTTTCTGTAAATTTTAACAGACAAATCCTGTTACTAATAATACGGAACATATCTATTGTATAAAATTAAAAATGTGTGGACATTGTGTTATTTTTATACTTTTTTCAGTTGTTTTAATAATTTAACATTTGAGTTTAATTAACACAAGAGCGATATGTTAAATTAACAGATGAATGTGTTAAATATTTAACACAAACATTTTTACCGGCATATTTTTTAACAAGAAAATACAAATTTTCCAACAATGTTCGCACTTAAAATATATATAATAGAAAAATGAAATATTAAAAAAACATATCGATATAAATTAATGAAACATGCAAATAATACAATATTAATGTAAAACACGAAGTCCCTGCATCGTGTTGGCTTAACCAACAACGAATAACGTAGGAACCAGAC